GAAGTTAAATAAGAGTTCCAGATGAATCCAACTACTACTAGGACATTTGGCCAGAACACACAAAATAGCCAGACAGGCCCTGCGTCGTTTTAATCCCTGCGTAAAGTAACGGAAACTCAGACTTCAGTAACGTCTCTCCTGGGAGAACCTATCCTGCAAATTTTAGATATGGCTGACCTCTTGGAACCCCCTCGAACCTTATATGAAGGTAATCTCTTATTACGAGAAAGGTATCAACAAATGAATCAGTACTTGGATTTTTTCGTCTCCCCCCCTAGGTCATTGCTCACACAAAACACTGTGATCGCGCTAATTAGGCAGGAGGCTGAAGCTCCAATACATGATGTTCCCGATCTGATGCACAAAATGACTAAGCTGACTGGGTTGGGAATAGCCGCAAGCACCACTGATCTCGAGACCGATGTCGAAATCAAGAAAACCGAAAGGATTAGCCCGACCGAATCACAGATGCTTGCTACTGTTTTTTCGGTCCGCACCAGTAGCTGAATGTTCTCTAGCGTAGAAGGGAGGCAACCGATAAAACCAGGGTAGATCGACGCGCGGCTGGACCTTTTCAAATGATGAACGATCGCCTTACCTGGTCACATTCCGCATGAAATTTGTCAGTCGTTGATTGATGTATTGCATGGATATGTTGAGGTGTTGAGTGTGCATGATTGTGATATTGGGTTGTCAAGTGTGATCGAGCACGTGATCCTCACAGGAGACCATCCACCAATTAGTTGCGCCCCTATCGATACTCTCCGGCACAACGACGAGCCACGTTCCAGAGAGTAAAGGAATTTGAAGCTAATGGGTGGATCGAACCTGCTATCGGACCATGGTCGTTCCCCGTGGTGATTGTACCGAAAAAGGTAGGAGAGATTCGTATATGTATTGATTATCAGAAGTTGAATGATATCACAATTAAGGACGTGTACCTGTTCCCCCGGATTGATGAGTTGCTGGATGCTATAAGTGGTGCTCGATTTTTTAGTAAGTTTGATGTTCGTCATGGATTTCACTATCTTCTAGTCCGAAAGGAGGATCGCCCGAAGATGGTCTTCGTTCTCTTTGAAGGGACTTGGCAATGGATTCGGTGCCCGATGGGAATCTGCAACGCCCCATCAACGTTTCAATGCGCGATGAATATGACTTTTCATAACTTCGTGCCAAAAACGAGGCAGGCGCAGAGTATTATAAATTATTGTGTGATTGTATATATGAATGATATTCTTGTGTATTCGAGTTCTTATGAGGGACACATGCAACATATTGAGTGGACGCTGCACGCACTGAAGGATGGTGGATTCAAGGTGGCCCTCGAGAAGTGCGAGGTTTTCCTCACAGAAATCTCTTTTCTCGGCCACGTGGTTACGAACAAAGGGTTGCAACTGGAACTTCAGAAGGTAGTCGCGGTGAGAGACGCGCCAGTGTCGACGTCAGTTACACAAGTACGCACCTTTTTGGGGCTAGCCTCGTACTATCGGAGGTTTATCAAGGGATTTGTGGCGATCGTGGGACCGCTCACAAACTTGCTAAAAAAGGATCAGCCGTTGATCTGGACCCCATAGTGCGATCAGGCCTTTTGAGAACTTAAGGGGGCTCTGATCTCGGCCCCGGTGCTTATAAGACCGGATCCCGAAAAACCCTTTGTTCTCATCACCGATTGGCAGCCCGAGGCGATCTCAGCGATCTTGGCCCAGGTGGGACCTGATGACTTGGAACACGTGGTGGAATATGCGTCTAAATCGGAGCCTTCCTGCAAGAGGAACTACTCCGTTCCAATGGGGGAATGCTACGCGGCCTTGTGGGGAATCAGTCACTTCCGGGATTACTTATATGGCCGGAAGTGCACATTGGTGACTGATCATGAACCACTGTTGGCCCTAAAGAAGTCCAAGGACTACTCGGGCATGATCGGGCGATGGGCTACCACGTTGCAGAGCATGGATTTTGACATCCGTCATCCGAAACACGAGAAACACGGCAACGCAGATGGGCTGATATGACTGCATCTACCTGGCAGAGTACCCAAGAGCGAGGAAGTGACATCGTGGCGCGATTCGGAATCAAAGGACGAGCCCCAATACGGTGAGGTGGAAATCCTTCTGAAGGACTAGGAGGATACGGGATCTCTCTCTCTCTCTCCTTTCCCCGGAACAATGGCGACCCCTCCTTCTACTCCCAACACCATTGAGTCCCCTCCTCTTCCACATATGAAATTTTTCGCCAATCTTCCGGACGAGTTCTTCTATTTTTGCACGTGTATTTCACGGGTCTATGGGGTAGATTGCTACCCCTTTGAAATGGGGTTCACTGACTGGGTAGAGTGTGCCACGTGTGTCAATCGTGCGCATGGCGCCTGCGTTTGATATTGAACGAGTAGTAAGGCATGGAAGTGCCCCTTGTGTCGGACGGACAAACTCCCCACCGAAGCTCGATTCGAGGCCGCCAGAACTGACGGCCTCGAATACGACGAAAAAGATCGAAGGGCTGAAGTATTGACGGATAAAATATTACTGGCTAAATTAGCGGGCCAACCATTGGACCATCTCACTAAGCATGATAGGCGTCGGGCCACCGAGAGGTCCCGAGATTATCGATGGATCAACGGTCATTTGGAAAAACGTAAAACAGACAGATCGGGATTATGGTTGACGGTTCCACACCTGTTTCAGCGATATGACTGGACCAAATATGCGCACAAGGAGCAGGCCACTCATTTCACGAGACATGTCACTGAAGCAACTATCGATCAGAATCGATGGTTCTGGTCTAATATTTGCGACGACGTGAGACACGGGGTCGCTAACTGTCTAGTCTACGCGGCCGATCGTCCACCTCTTCGTGGACCTAACACGATAATCCCGACGGAGGTAGAACTTGAACGCCCTTTCCAACGAGTCAGTATGAACACAACAGACATTGGCGTGCCACCTGACCCCAACCCTTGTAAGTATTTCATTCTCGTGGTATTAATCGATCATTTCTTGAAGTACATAAAAGTCTACCCCTGTAAGACACGTAAGGCCTCAAAGATAGCTACGTACATTGACCGATTCCTCAACACCCATCTAGATACAAAAGAGATTCTGACCGACAATGGGTTTGAATTCAAAGCAAAAGTAGAGGAATTATTAATGCGTCGTGGCGTTACTCTCCGCCGCATTGTTCCCCATTATAATATATTATCATTATTACCTTTGTTTCTCCATTATTTTAATATGATGGTATTCGTTAAGATAAATTTTCAAATTGGTTGCCGTAGATGACGCAATGAGTGACATTGCACACATGAAGATGTCCTTATAAATGTTTTGTATGCTTTTTTGATAGAGTATAAAATAGCGAATACAATGAAACCCTAATTTACATGAATAAACTAGAGGATTGAAGTTTCAAAAATATTTGAATATAAGTCTCGTGTACAAAGCCAAGATGTAAACAAATAATGACTTAAATAAAAAGATAAACAATAATAAAAAATACAATGGTAAAATAAAAATAAAAAATGCAATTTACTTAGATGGAGAAACCATCCGAGTCTACCTATCAAACTGTTGATAACCTCTGTTTCAGTTCCTCATAAAATCTGAATAAATTTGAACTACTTAGCGACTTTAACTTCGTTTCAGATACATTTACCTAATGTATTTTTTTTTTACCAATTATAAAATAAGCCAACTAAAGAATTCGTAAACAAATGACTGTTTTTAAAAATTCAACTCCACTGTTTTCTGCATGGAAAATGAAAACAGATAGAGAAAATTATGATGCAGTCAGGGATTGAGTTTGAAAATACAAGTGTGGTAAAAGGGTCAATAATGGTTAGTATATATAACTTAGATTTCGGGTTCAGTGGGGTCACATGGGGGTATGTTGTGTTCCAGGGATTAACTGAAGTGCATTTTCAAACTGTTTTTATGACTGCACAAAAGTCGTAAAAAAACATTATTAATTTTGGATGATTTTTTCTTTTTGAAACATAGTTAAACGAAAATACAAAATAACTCAAATGGTAATAACATCCTATCAACATTGTTTTAAAATGCGCAAAGAGATGAGGACGAGGCTAAGTTGGAGGAGGAGGAGGGAGGAACATGCGATGGAGCAGGAAGAAGATGAGGAGGAGGTGGAAGAGGAGGAAAGGAAAAAGGAGGAAGAGGAAGTGGAAAAGGTGGAGGGGGGGGCGGAGGATAAGGAGGAGGAAGAGGAGAAGGCAATAAAAGAAAAAGAGGAGGAGGCAATAAAAAAAGAAAACGAGGAGGAGGAGGAGGGAGAGAAAGGGGAGGAGGGCCAGCATTAGAGGAGGAGGACTACGCTGGGCCGCTTTTTTTTTTTTTTTTTTTTTCAATTCATTGATCGATCCATCGATCGATCCATCCATCCATCGATCCATCCATCCATCGACCGATCCATCCATCCATCCATCAATCCATCCATTTATTCATCCATCCATCCATCCATTGATCCATCGATCCATCAATCCATCCATCAATCCACCAATCCATTGATCGATTGATCCATCGATCCATCGATCGATCCATCGATAGATCGATCAATCCATGGATCAATCCATCGATCGATCGTCCATCAATCGATCCGTCCATTCATCCATCCCTTTGTCCATCGGTCCATCGTCTCTCCGTCCCTCCCTCCATCCCGCCGTCCCTCCGTCCCTCTGTCCGTCCGTCCATCCCTCCCTCCTTACCTCCCTCCCTCCGTCCGCCCGTCCCTCCCTCTCTTTGTCCCTCCCTCCGTCCCTCCGTCCCTCCCTCCTGCCCTCCCTCCGTCCCTCCCTTCCTTCTTCCCTCCGTCCCTTTGTCCCTCCATCCCTTTGTCCCTCCGTCCCTCCCTCCCTCCCTCCTTCGTCCCCCCATCCCTCAGTCCCTCCATCTCCTCGTCCCTCCGTCCCCCTGTCCCTCCCTCTGTCTGTCCCTCCGTCCTCCCTCCGTCCCTCCCTGCGTCCATCCCTGCGTCCTCCGTCCATCCCTCACTTCGTCCCTCCCTCCCTCCATCCCTCCTTCCCTCCTTCCCTTTGTCCCTCAGTCCCTCTATCCCCCCAGTCCATATGTCCATCCATCCATCCATCTATCCATCCTTTCATCCATCCTCGTTGTCCTCCTCCTCCTCCTCCTCCTCGTGCATGAATGGATTTACGACATCCGTCGATTTCGAGGACGAGGAGGAGGAAGAGGAGGAGGAGGAGGAGGAGGAGGAGGAAGACAAGGAGGAAGAGGAAGAGTGGGAAGACGAGAAGGAAGAGGAGGAGGAAGAGGAGGAGGAAGTCGAGGACGAAGAGGAGGACGAGGAAAAGGAGGAGGAGGAGGAGGAGGAGGAGGTGAAAGACAAGGAGGAGGAGGGGGGGGAGGAAGAGGAGGAGGAGGAGGTGGAAGAAGAGGAGGAGGAGGAGAAGGAGGAGGTCAAAAGGGAGAAGGAGGAGGAGGTGAAAAACGAGGAGGAAGAGGAAGAGTAGAAAGAGGAGGCTCTCCTTCACGACAGGTAAAGGAGGAGCAGCTCCCGGCGAAGGGTCCAGTGGTGACAGTTATGCCTACAACAGTGGAACAGTGGGCCAGTGGAGGCAGCGAGCAGCGGGGCAGCGAGGCAGTGCAATTTCAAATTCAAAATTGGCCCGATCTGGGCCGTCGATTTTGGTGGATAGACAACCCAAATCGGGTTTTTCTGTTTTGAAATATGTGGGTCCCTCTCTTGATCCGCCATTGTGTAATGCTACGAGGGGTTGATAAAAACTCCTTGGCACCCCCAAGCCCCGGGAAGAAGCCTTGCACCTATTTTCCGCAGGGCCCGAAATGCTAAGCCTTCCGAGTTCCTCTGGGGGGATTTTTCCGGCCGGATATTCCGGATGGTCCTGGGTCATTCAGATATCTGGAAAAAGAAACTTTGTTCTTAACTAAAAAAATGATCGAGTTGTTTGGAAAGACGACCCCTCATGGTGGGTAAATCTATACCCTGGTTAAATATAGGAAATAGATTGATTAAAAAAAAAAAAACTTAAATCACAAATGCTTGTTATCTTATACTAGTTTATTCAGAAAAAGGCAAATCACTTACCACGAGGATTTGAATATTCGTAGGGTCTTTCAAAGGTTTGTATTACAAAAAAAGGGCTACAAAAAAAACAATGAGCTAAAAATGGGTTCTATGAAAGCAGTCACAAAGTTGTTAAATCCTTGGGTCAGTGACGAGTTTGACCTAAGACATTTTCGACCATAACAAATGACACAAGCTCACTAGTCAACGCACCTTAATGTTTATCATCCTGAAATATTTATTTACCCTCTCATAATTATTTTTCCCCGTAGATTTGAGCCACATTAGAGTTTTCCACTATTGTATTTACGAACTGCACGATCATTTGCCCGACGTTTGTACTGGTTTTTGCTATATGTATACATTATCCAATGTCGTATCTCATTGACCCCTCCATTTGCCTTGCTGCAATTGGATGCATGATACCATAACACACAACCCCTCCAAGGCTTGCATGATATTGGAGTTTATTGATTTTTTACGTTACCATGTATGCTATGTATGTCATGTTGTATGCAGTGTTAATGCTCTTTAGTTGTTTTATTACGTTGTATCATTATCTAAGTGATACCTCTCAAAAGAGTCTCAAAATGAAAAAAAATGCCCCATGGGCAAATCATGGGCATGGAGAAATGGGGATTGGATGTTCATTGGGGGGTAGGATTTCGCTATGGATCCTGGGCATGGGCAAACCGTGGTCTCGCTGAGGATAGGGTAAGATATGCAGTGGAGGTTATAGACAATGAGAGGTTTCCAACCTATGCTGCTGGAGTCTATTTTTCACGACAGAGGGGAGGTGATCCCCTCCATAAAGAGGGCAATGAAATTTTTTCTTGCTTAGTACGGGCGGAGAAAGAAAATCCTATAGTTTTCAGAGTTATAGTAAGTGGATCGTGGACAAATCAAAGCTAGGTAAAGGTCCTTGTATTTTTGGGTACACTGTATGGTACATGTGCCTCACTTTTAGGATGGGAAGCTAATTTTTCAGCATGTGCCGCTCCCCACAGATAGATCGGAGTCATTCATGAGAGACTTGTTGCATTGCTGACCTCAACGTCATTTCACTGTGAATTTCCTCGACAGACACGGTCACCCGAACTTTCTAACAAAAGACGAATATGAAACATTTGAAAATGGGTGGGGTGAATGCTCGCCCCAAATCCGATTTTCCTATCCTGCAGGGGCTAAGAAGTGGTGGAATTACAAAAACCATTACACTGGGTGAGTGATTGCGGACTTGAGAGGGCATATTCGGGTCGCATTCCAGTCACCCCTGTAATCGAATGGCCAACCAAATGCAGAGCACTTGGGAAGTTTTGGGGTGAGTTTGCCGTTACACATCACTTACTTGAGTCACTTCGACACAATGGTTTGGATACTGTGCGGTGAGTTTGTGCATCGGAAAAGCATTAGGATGAGTATGCGCCCTGCAAGTGGGGTGGGGTGCGCTGAGAAGTGCAGCCAGACCATTGGACAATGCTCAATGCAAAGAGTACACTTACACCCCTCATAATTGAGGCTCTTCGCCCAGATCTTTGAGTTATACTCAATACGGGAGGGCGTCAACCTCAGAAGCAATCATGGACGACTCGCCCCCTTGTGATAGGCAGGTTAGGCAAGCAGGTTGGGATACAAATAGAAAAATAGATCCTAAAATATTTGGGGGCGTTTCTGCAGCACCAAAGACGACATCCTTATACAGTTGGGGACATTTGCGAGGGCCCAAAGAAGAGATTACCCAATAATGACCTGCGATCTTCATTACCTACAGTCAGTATCTCCCAATCCTTAACAGTGGAATCCTGGTCCTGGGGCCATGTCCCGCTTGCGGAGGTTTGCTTTTGGTTTGGAGTTATGCCGCGACGCAAATACAAAAGTAAATTAGCAAGCCCTATCTGAGGCCGTTAGATTATGGGTTGCAGTCCACTGCCCGAATAAATCAACTTATCTATGATGAAATGAAAAAACAAGTAGTCACAATGACAGATTGTACCTGATGACTGACAAACCAACCATAACATTCTTCAGATATATGAGCCACCTGAGGAACAAAACTAGGCAGTCCTCATTTCCAGCCCAACAAAGAAAAGACTCGAAATGATGACTGCCTTGTTTTTTTTTCCTTTGGTGGCTTGTGTTTTCCTTTGGTGGCTTGTATATCGACAGAATGTTGGAAGAACCTTGTGGTTGGTTCGCCAGTCATCAACCACAATTTTTTCCCCCCATTTCATAATAGATAAAGTTGATCTATTCAGACATCCCGTGATCTAAGAGCATCAGATGAAGAGCTACCTCACTTTTCTTTTGCATCTGTGTTGCGGCATGACTCCAAACAAAAACCAAACCTGAACAAGCGGGGCGTGGAATCTCAGTTTGAGAGAGATGAATTTCCTTTGTAACAAGCAAAAGACAAGGAAAAGTGTTGGCTTCTCCAAGACTTCTGAAATCAATTGGTCAAGTTACCGCACACCTGCTACCACAACCAGGTTGAAACATGATTGTGCATGTTGCCTACGTCTGATTGTGCCTATCCTAGGCTTTCTCCATCCTACCCTTTAGCTTTGTGGCTGATTGGTACACCCATGAACAATTGGTGATACCTAGTGCAAACGTCACTCGCACTAGGACGCATCTGATGGCTATTAGAGCAGTCTGTGGTAATATCTCACTGTAATTAGGTCAAGAGTTGAGTCTGAAAGGTCCTAGTGTGAGAGTGTCCTCACAGTAAGGCTTTTTTATATAAATATGATAACAATCACGAAAGCGTCGGGTGTATATGGTCGCAATCACAAACTTGTGACATACCAATTTAGCTGAACGATCTTCTGAAGCTTTGGGTTTTTGTTATTTCTGCTCTTCGAATTTCTCTTGAGTTTTTTTGGGTACCCCTTCCTTTTTGCTATCCTCTGAGTGCATAGAATCGCACACCAACCAGACCCTCTCACGTCTAACACAATGATTCTTTTAGATTTCTTTGCAATTTTCTTTCTGTAATCCGTGCATCTACGTAGGAATTACGTGCCCCTAGGCGAGCGCGCTATGAATTTTGTTCGGCAATTGGGAATTCCGAAAATTATGGGTGTTCCTCCCGCTGACGTGTCCTTTCTTGCAAGTGAATATTCCTGCACTCGCGTTTGAAAGATCTGCGAATTTTCAATAGGAAGGTAGATAAACGTAGGAAAACGCACTCAATTTCGCGCGCTGATGTTTCTTTTGAAATTTTCAATCTTGAAATAGTTTTAGAACTCGGATGAACGAAATGTAACTGTTTCGATGATTTTTTTTTTTTTTATGCAGCGACACCATGCATGCAAGCTTTCCCTGCTTCCCGTTATGATCTATGGCATCTTCAATCCCCGTAAGTTCCTTTGCAGCCAATCAGAAAACGGGTTTTTGGCAACTTGCCTAGATCCGAGTCAACGACAGTGTACGTAAGGTTGTGTACCAGGTAACCTCGACGAGCTGCGTGATCAGGGCAAGTTCGTGCAAAAACTGAGTTGGTGGGGTAATGATTATTGTGGTTTTGAGGTTGGTACGTGACGGTCGGGATTGTCAGCACCGAAGTGAGAAGAGTGTGTGTGTACAAGTGGTTGCATGGCCAAAGGCCATTATTAGAGAGCAGAAAGTTGAATCTTGATTTCCATGGTCATCTTCCTTTGGTTCTGAGAAGCTAAGTCCACGGCAAATAGTTGGGTGCTTCCCCTCAAGATTTGTCTGTATGACCAGAGTTCTCCCTCTCTCTTCTTAAACCTCTTTTTCGGCCAAGCTACATTTTTGTCTCCCTTACTCTCTCCCTTTCTCTCGTTCCCTTGCTCTTATCTATCTGATGAATGTCAAAATGACCTAAGATTTTCTTGATCTCGCTCGCCCCTGTTGAATTCAATCGGATCTCACACGAACGAGCATCGTTGAGTTCAAAGGGAACAATAAGCCCCACGAGATCTTATCGGTTTTGTTTTTCGGTTGTTGATGTGTCTCTCGAACAATGGAGGATTCATGTATGAGTGATTTGTTACACATGTGCATCGATTGGGTTAACTAAGCTAAAATCCCGCTGAGATTATTGAAATGCATGCTTATTGCCGGCTTAATAACAGATGATTGTCGCTGTGATTGGATTGAACTCACAGTTTTCCTTTTGATCGGTTTGCCGGATGGATGAAAAACAATAAAGCATATACCATTGCGACTGTTTACTTTCGTGATTGAACACCCAATTGGGTAGACTTACGTACTCAGAGTTTGCTTGTGCCATGTGGACCAATTGTCCCAACCGACTGGGTGTCGGGTGCTGACTCCTGCATCTCCATTGCGACCATTCCTGTGTATAATGAGGAAAGGTTACGTGTATGCGAGTGGGACGTAGGGGAAGCCGTCGTCAAGATTGGCGGACACTATTATTTTCCATCCGAAATCAGGTGTTTGGGGTTCGCGGGCGCTGGTTTTGTCATTACCGACACCCACTTTCCCCCGTA